AAAAAAATTTATTGAATGTTAACCTTTTAAATATAATAATTGGTATACACCTGTGTGTCTCATTCAAAACAAAATAATAATAATAATAATAATAATTACAGTGGAAAGGTATTTTCCAGTGCAATGTAGGAAAACTCCCTCAACCAAAGTTAGTAATATTATCTGATGCACCACAAAAAATATTAGTCATTATAATGGAAGTCACTTTCCTTTCCTATATATACAGTGTAGGAATTCCCTCAACCTAGTCATCAATATTATCATTAATATATATTTAAGTTGTTTGATTCTCTGAAGTGAAGACAAAAGTCAGAATCAACTAATTTTGGATGAACTCTCGAAGAAGATACCTAGCTAGCAATATATAGCATGAATTTCCCTTCCTTTTTCTCTTTAACTGCTTTTGATTTTTTCCCAAAAATTAAACAAGTATGATGAACACTGAGCTTATGTATAACTTGATGACAAAAGCACAGAGTAGATTCCAACAATAGATCTTTAAAAAATCTCAATGAGAAGAAAGCAAAAATTCAACCCGGTGGGTTGATGCAATGTCTGCCAAAGCAAATCTTATGTGTAAACTATCAATTCAATCATTGAATCCCAAGGGGGTGTTTAAACCAATTAAGAACTTGAAACTCCAAGTTGAAGATCGCGAGTTCAAGCCTTAAAATAGGTGAGGAGGGATTAAAGGAAGAGAAGGATTATTTCCTGTTGTATAGCCCATCATTTAATGTATTAGAAAAATTGATTCAATCATCCTAACAATTGTATTACATATAATAACAAGGCACATCAATTTAGTTAAGTATTCTTTTTTCTTTTCTTTTCTTTTCTTTTCCTTTTTTTTTTTTTCGGTAATCAAATGCTACATAATATGAATGGGATGTTATGAGATTACTTTAAATAGAGTCATACAAAGAAGGGTCTGTAATTACTTTTATAAATCAAGGCAGACAGGCAGTGCTGCTTGCAATTTACCTCTTCATAAAATTCCATTTGTTGATCAAAACAAACAGAAATCCATCATATTCACATTTTCAAGTCCTAGCAGAAAAGAAGATAGAAAAAACCTTGTTCTAGTACTTCGCCTGTATTTATTTAAGCATAAAGCACCTTTTTCAAGGCAACTCTCTTCTGCTGCTCCTCTTTTCCTTCTGCTGCACTAGATTCCCTCAACTCTCTTCTGCTACTACTTTCCTACCGCACTACATCCCACAAGTTCTGACCCTTTTTAATACCAACTTTCAATGGCCAGTTCATATTCCATCAACAATGGAAAATCAAATAACAAAAGAAGGTTTAAAAATTGAGAAAATTAATTAGGTTTCATTTTCATTGACAATAAAATTCAGAGAAGGGAGAGGATAACCTAATGTTTTATCACATATTATATGTTTTTGGGATATATCTTTTGTTGGAGGTGACACATTAGTTTCATTTCCATTGACAATGAGTCCAAGGCTTCAAGCACAAAGCAATTTCTCTCCTTTTTATTTTCTTTTTTTTTTTTTTGTAAATAAATTATCAATGCAACAGCAGCAGGGGGAGAAATCTTAATTTCCCAAAACACTTACAAATAGAAACTTGACAATGTGTTCAATCATGAAGCACCTAAATTTTCAAGATTTATAACCTAAAAAAAAAAAAATTCAAAACTTCTAATTGTGCAAACCTATACGATACACAAAGAAAAAAAGAACTAAGCATATATAGGAGCTAGATACCATCTATTGTGACTATAAAGTACAAAAGCAATATGTCTTCATTTATGAAGTAAAAAAGAAACCACTAGCTAAATTCATGCAGCTCACACTCACTTTTGCTGCTTTATTTTTCCTACCCCAATAGATCCCACCAATCTTGAGTTCCTAACCATTTTTAATTCCAGCTTTCAATGGTATATTCAGACTGCATCTGTTTACACCTAAAAATAAACCAATAGGGTAAAGTCATGTGTCAAAATTAAGCCCAATCTTTAAGGAGAGTCATTGAATTAGGCTAGGCTAATTTAGAAATGTATTGGCCCA